TGTGTTGCTCCCGAGGTAACTGCGGTGATCCCTGCAACCCTGAAGCCAGTCCTCATTCCACTCTGGTGTCACAGGTGTCGCAGTTGGCAATTGAGTGGAGACCTGACCAATGCACCGCCCACAATCTCATGAGTCGCTGGGTTCGTTACCTGCAAAGTTTCCACGGAAGTGCAGTAGGGTGAGTCACGTGCAACAGAAGGAAACCCAGGCAGAGGGTCAGCATTAGCATGAGCTCAAAACCAGTCTTGCAATATGCTTGTTTTGGCTTCTATGATCGAGCCAAGACCGAACTACTGTTAGCTCCGACAGTCTGCCAAAAAAGCAAGACCCACCTCTGGCATTGGAGAAGTAACGGGGAGACAACGAGTAAGCACCACCTCCGGGAACAGCAGCCAAGCATGGCAATTAGGTCTGCAATCACGATCTCTCACATTGCCTATTCAGCTCCGGTCCAGAGAATGACGCGGACTCACTACTCTTCACCTGCCTGTGCACGTGGCGCACGGCGTGGTGTGGAACGAAGGGCTGCCGTGGCAATGGCGACCGTAGCCTTAGGCGAACTCGTGCATGTCGCTGTTGTCTGCCGATCTATCGTTTCCCTCAAGCCGTGCTGACACAAAGGCTCCGGCAAGCATCGCAGCTGGCCAGGCAGAGACAGCGGGACGAGTTGAAAAGGGAGCCTGGCAGCCAGTATCCTCAGCAGTGCCTGTGCTTCTCAGGAGAGGCCACGGCTTATGCGAGTGTGGAGCATTAGGGGTACAGTCGCGCTGATGAGCCTTGGCCGCAGCCGCAGACGCAGTCTGCATCTGTGCCTTCCCAGCGGGAGAAGCCAGCAACCATGACAGAAAGCTCATCTCTGCTTTGGGGGCTCTTAGGTTACCAACACTTGTCTGCATGAACATGCGGCAACACGCGGCACCACGTGTGAATCAGGCATGGAAGGCGAACAGCACAGTTGTGCTGATGCCCAACGCAAACATTGCTAGTCATGCATCCGCCTTTGGATGCGAGACACTTCGTGCACGCTGCTGGCACAGACATTCCAACTAGTGGCATGATGCCAAAAACCGTGGAAGCGCTTGTAACATAGACATTCGAGGGTGCGGGATATACAAATGGGTGTATGAAGCCGGTCGGTCGATATTCATGGATCCCTCATGGATCGGATGCTCAGTACACCTCTGGATGGCAGTGCCGAGTCTACAAAAAGCAGGACAAATCAATCTCCTGCTGCGATCGTCACAAAGGAAACGCAGCTGTTCTCTTCTCAACTTGGCCTGAGCTGGGCGCGCTGTCGCAGCCACAAACGCCGTCTGATCACCTGTGCCCGACTGCTCTTCTCTTGCGTCAGAACACGATGCCGGTGCTGCAAATCACCGTCTCCAATCCATTATGGCAGACTCGGCACTTGTTACTGTGTCCCCGGCAACTTGCTGCAAATGCCATAGCAGCAATGGCAAGTCCGAGTGCTAGGACCTGGCTATGCCGTGCGGTACGGTCCGGCCCGCTTAAACTTAAGAATGTAGAACTGGTGCCCTTGGGCCAATTCCGAGCTCAATGGGCTTGCTTCCAATGTGCTCTTAGAATCTCTTAGCTGTGACTGTGAGATTCTATTTATGTGGCACTGTCCTATGGCCAAGTCGAATAAACAACACCTAGTTGTCGGTGATGACACAGTTATGGTACAAGCATAATGTATACCTGCTCCTATGTGTTCGAACGTTATGATTCTACTACACTGCAGGCCGCAACCCCAGCACAGTATCCAAATTGTATCAACATGCCCTTGCGGAAGAATGCGGCAAAATTACGTGCTGCATGTTTGGGGAAAAGAGTTGCTGGCAGCCGAGGTATAATGCACTGTTCTCGCATTACATAGAGATGACGAGATGGATCAGCGAGAAATTCTTTCTTGCAGAGTACAGTGATGCAGCTGCGAAAGGCCGCGATTGCCACGAGCGGCCGTATTACTGCGGTGAACAAGGCTTCCTGTGCAACTTTTCAGGCCCTCGCAACTGGATTGCCACAATGCAGCGAGCTCGAAGGCCTTGCATGGCTGGTGCTGATAGAAACTTGCCCAGCCTCTGCAGTAAAACCTACACATAGCAGAGTCGACTGCCAAGGCAACATGATCGCTATGACCATCTAAAAAAATGGGCCCCGGGTGCTGACATGCTCAAGCCGACTGTTCACCACAGAAGGCACCTGGCAACCTTCGACGGTTCCCAGCATCGGGCAAATACATGTGGGAAGCATATAAGTCGCAAGGGAAGATCTGTACACTGGCTACAACAGCAATAACATGAAAGCTCACGACTGCAAATGTCTATAATACCGTAATATACCGTATATAGTTGTACCATGTTTAACCCTTCTCAGCTCAGCTGTGCAACTGCTGAACAGAACAGTGAAACATTGAAAACTGTGTAAATATGCATTAACACACATCTCCCGTACGAACAATTTTTTCCTACGCATTCAACACGTGTCGCCGCCGGGAAAGATTGCCTTGGTATAAAAATAGATTGCCTTGAAAGCTATCCAAGCCGCTTCCAAAGCTCCAAAGCAACCGAGCAGTATAATCCGGTTTCTGGAGCGGCCCAACGCACGACGGTGACGGCACCCCCCTCTGCCGCATCCCAGCACCCTGTCAAGCAAGCCGACTTGTCTTCAATAAGAAAATTTTCCGCTCCGTCAAGCGTGATGTCGAACTGTCCTAGGGTCCTAGTGACCTAGTGGGACTTTGAGCTCCATAGTCTTGTATCTGCCATCCAGCCCAATTTGCCAAGCTCAGTGAGTGCTGGATTCGATCCACCCGAGGTACTCAATACAGGCCAGTTGCAACAGGTGGCTGGAATCTGTTCGTGCAAGACAGTATTTCGTGGTTGAGCATCCGGGTGAACAAAGTGCTGGCCGAGTCCTATTTAATGGTGGCACCCCATCAGGCGAATCAGAGTCAAAACACTCTCTAGCGACTTTCGACAGAGCAAGACGCTAGCGAGATCAAGGCAAATTGCTGCACAGAATGCTTTTGATCAGCAAAAACTGAGGCGAATTCTGTAGTCTGCCCATGAACATGCACAAGAAACACCACTGCGACTCACTCCCAAGATTGCGGAATCCCAGGTGCTTAGCTTCGAGCGAGAGCTTAGTGATTTCGATGCAAGTTGAGGGCCCAGCCGGCATTGGCAGAACGTAAAATCGGAACTCCTGAGGAGCCAGCCGTAGCCCGCGAGACCAAGTCATGGCCCTGCGGCCTCGGTGTGTAAGGCCGCTGACTGGAAATGTCCACACACCAAACTCAACAGTTTGGTCTTACCCCCCTGAGGCGCTAGATTCCTGTTCCCCGAAACCCGACACTAACTTTCAAGATGATCACGGATGGCAATCCGTAAAGATGCTGGCTGACAAGACATTGACACATTGAACCTGAAGAAGTTATCCGGATCAGCGGCACATCGGCAACCCTAAAAGGACTGACAGGTTCCCCACGGAAGGTATGATGCATGTCCACGGGTGAAACCCGAAAGCAATGCTGCAGTTGTTGCGCAACAGCTTTCACCAAGGAAGTTTTAAGGTCATCATGCTCATTCCGGTTCGTGAGTTAGATCTGCGAGGCAGCAAAATAGGCCCAACATCCATTGAGTGCATCTTGCGGCATGCCTCATGTGAATGCTCGCTCACACTGAGGCCTAACTCGCTGAGCAGACAAGGAAAGCACTGCGTAGTATCTGTATAGCACCCTCACGCACTATCTAAACATATCTAAACATTGCCGAACGATGGGGAATTCCAGCCTGTCCTGTACCCTATTCCTTCACAGACGACCACCGGCGCTAAATTCGGAGATCGATGTCTGGCTTCCATCTCTATACGTCCGCGGATTGCTGAGAAGCTTCGATGCAAAATTGTCGGGTTCATTGGCTTCGTAGCTGGGTATGCCAGACTTTTGAAACTATGCTTGCCAGACACCGCTTGTAAAAAAGCACGTGGAAACCCAACATGCGGCGGATTTGGTTTTTGCTAGGGGCAGCACCTTCCACGGATCGCAGCACAACCGCCCACCCGACCTAGTGCCTCAATGGCTGAGTTGCGGCAGCGGCAGCATGCGGCAGCAACATGCAGCCTTGTCCGGGCAAGATCTGTCCTGAGAGGTTCCTTATGCGAGCCGGCCTCGACTTGCCACCTGGCTTTTGCGATCTGCTGCGCGAAGGGCATTGTGAAACATGCCCGAGAAACGCCGCTTCCTGATGGAGTGAACACCTCACCAATGCTCCAACCGTTGACTTGCGAGACAAGAGTATGCTTCCTTGAACTTCCTTGCAAAGGCTACGACCTCTTTCCGACTCTACCATGTGAAGATCCATGTCGTAATGAGGGTTCCCAGCATCGCAAAAGCAGCTGGCTGCATGCCGGGCATTGAAACGGCCCCTTCACAGCCACGGCAAACAATCGCTTCCAAGGCAGAAAAGTACCTGGCAGGTCAGACAGATGCTGGTGAAGCAAGCAACCGATTCAGTGAGAAGCCTAGATCTTGCCTCAGCAGCAACATTCCAGGAGTTTTCAGATGAACTCCAGCCCTGCACGACGCCAGCAGCAAGCTTCAGTGTGGGACAAGCGCCATGACCATTCTCCATGTCGGCCTGATTATTCTGAAGGGCCAGCAGCTGAAGCATCTGGGCCCGAAGCCAGGACCTGCAGCACTAAGGCCATTGACTCTTGACCGACTTAACCTCAACGCCACGCTCGGCTTCGGCCTCCCGCAGTCGGTCCCGGCGGCGACCGCTTCAGGCGGGCGACACAGCGCAAGGACTTGGCTTCGGCTCTGGAGCTTCCGGCACCCCGCAGCGGTCCCGGCAGAGGCTCCGAGGACTCCGAGGGTCGGGCATCTTCTGAAAGCATCCTGGGGACTGGAACGAGCCTGGCTTCGGGTCTGAGGCAAATGGACCCTCCGTGTGCATCAACGGATATCGAATGGCATGCCGGCACTGCCAATGTAGTCAATTCCATGTCTCAGCCTGATCTGCTTACACCGTCCACTCAGCAGCTCCAGCATCAAGGCCCTAATCGTGGAATAGGCACTGTCCCTACCTGCCCATTGCTTCGGAAGGCTGCTTGCTAGATGGTGTCCACCATGCTCAGAGCAAGTGGCCCAATCGGGCAGAGATGTAGCATTTCCTACGTTTGCCCTTCTTTCGCTGTGCCTCTTGGCGTGCTCCGCTGTGGAAAGAGAGTTGTTGACTTTTTGGAATTATGTCGGCTTCGGGGAGCCTGAACTCAGCTCAGCAATGTGAGAAGACCCAGGTTTGCACTTCTTCGGGGCATCTTAGTGCTTGTCACGACGCCTTATGCGCTCCAGAAAACTTGGATTGAAGTTGAGGGCCCCTGCGCTCGGTTTAGGGATTCGAGCGTTTCGGCGGGGTTCCACTCATTTGTTGAAGCTTCGAAAAGGTTTCTCCCTGCTTGCCTGGATGTTCTCCTAATTGAGAGCTTGTGGTTCGGCGAAGTCTTGTCTTCGCTGCCGTTGTAACGTACATCCGGTACTGCACATGTCTCTTTATCCTTCTCTCTCCTGCCGTCCTTCCGTGGCTGGATGTCGATCCGAATACGAAGACAAGAATGTACTGCACCTCCCTTGGCGAGCACGATCCTACTGCAATAAATGTCCTGGCTGGAATACCGGAATGCTGCTGGCTAAACCTTGTCTTTTGTGTCCCGGGTGCTGATGATGATTCTGCAGCAATGTCTGGATTTCGCTGAGCGATATCTGCTGTCAATGTCGGGGTCAACTCTGGCCATCCTCCGGAGGAACATCTTCAGAACAGCCTGTGTGCAAGAGATGCACTTCTCAGGCTTCGCGACACTTTGCATGATGGAGCCGTCATTGCCACGGAAACGACTACAGCTACGGCAAGACTGAGTGCCCGCACGCTTTTTTGATGTAGGTATGATCTTGCCATGCCTTGAAACATGCAAAAGCGGCAAACTGAATGGCACCGCTCTGAGATATCGATGCACAGACTTGAAGTATGCACTGTCCGACAAACTGAGCGTGGTGCTATTGATAGTGAAAGTTTGCAAGCCACCTTCGTTGCAGCGACCTGTGGAAATTGACAGACAAACGATGGAAGAGCAGGGGGGACATGGAGGGGACTTTTAGCAGCAAAGCCTGCAAGTACATGAGAGAGAGTGAGAGACAGAAAGAGAGAGGGAGAGAGAGCGAGAGAGACAGAGACAGAGGGAGATAGAGAGAGAGAGAGAGACAGAATGTGTGCGCAGGTGTAACAAGGTAAGGGAGCTGAGAAATACAACGGAAACTCCGAAATAGAGCAAGAAAGGAGAGAGAGAGAGAGAGGGAGAGAGAGAGAGAGACAACACTGATTATATCAGGCAACATTATACTAAACTAACAAACATCATACTATATTGTGCAATGTTATAGTGTCATCTCATGTGCTGTTATATCATAGGTCATAGGCTGCCTTTAGAATATTTATATCCCTCTCGATTATGTTATTTTGTATTACATAATATTCCTATGTTGTATTGCATCATGTGACATTGCGCTATGCTATGCTATGGTATACCGCTTAGGTTATGCTAAGTTGTAAGAGATCATATCAGGTCGTATCATACCATGTCAGAGCACAGCATGTCATATCAGCTCATGCTAGACTACGTCTGCTCAGTTCCATCATCATATATGGCGTCAACATGTTTTTATGCTGTGATGTGTGGTGTTCTGTTAAGTAATACTGCGTTGTGTTATACTACACTAAACTGGTTCTTACAGCAATAGACGCCATAGTACATCCTACTATCTCATGCTATCTCAGACTGCATCATGTAATATCATGTGATGTCATCATTTGTGATGTCTCTGTGTGTGTGTTATGTGTGTGTGTGTGCGCGCGCGCGTGCATGATGTGCATCATGTGTATGACTCGTCTGGCGTCCTTGATGTGTGTGATGTGTGATGGGTTTCAATCGAAAGGTCAGTATACAGCGATGGAGAAACATGTCCTTCGCTGTGCAGTTCAATCACTCTTGATGAAAGCTGAAGTGCTGCAGGCAGAAATGCCGAGCGGGTCGCTCGTGGAGATGCTGCAAGCAGATGAGATCAGCTACATTTGGGACGGCGACTGTTTGCACGTAAAGACCGACATTTCTTGAAGTGCTCGTTTACATGCGCCCCTGTGATGGAGACCGTCATTCCCCGACGTTTCGTTGCAAAACCGAGCAAAATGTTTCAGGCCTAGAAACCGTAAGAGTCTGTGATACGAGCAGGGTGAGAACTCGTTGGCCGAACGGGAATTGTCTGAAAGATCAAGTCACAGTCCATGCCTTCGGATCGCGACCGTGCCTGCCCGGGCGAATCGATCCGCAGCACACGCTTACAGTTTCCAGCTTAACAAAGACAAGCAGCTCAGCAGCAGCAACATGCTTGATTGCCACATGTCCGAGCGTTGTGCGGAGAAGGCTTGTAAAAAATCCGAAAGAAGCCTCTAACGGCCGCCAGCCGTTGACCTGACACCGAGGCTGGCCTTTCCCTCCCTTCCAGTCGCAGAGGTGGCAAATCGGTGCTGAACTGCTCGCTGGAGCTTCAGGCGCACCTCAGAACTTGCACACGCAAACAGAATCTCAACATAGAAGCAGGATTCTGTGTGCCGAGCCCGACTCGGCTCGAAGGACAGGGCCAGGGGTACGGCGCCAAGCGGCGGGAGAAGCCGCGAGCCCACCTTGGCGGACTACGCCAGGATACGCCAGGGATCCGCCGCAAGCCCTGACACCGAAGGCCCTTAAGCTCGGCGTCATACCTGTCGACGGTAGTTTCGATCTTTTGCCTGTCAACAGAACAACCTGCGCAAGCCTGCTTTCGACAGCACGGCGGTCACAGCAGAGGACTCTCATGTGACGTGCAAAGCCGTCACAAACCGCATGGAAACACCAAACAAAGGCGTCGGATCCACTCGTTGACCGTCATGGTAACCAGCACGGTGTTTCTCCTGAAGGACGGGTCCCTGCTTTGCGGGCTAGAGCACAGCTGGCGGTGATCCTGAGCTTGGGCGACGGGGACCACAGCTCCTGCGACACAGCCCCAGACATGAGTTCTGGCACCAATTCAACAGCCCTGTCTAGGCTTCTCCCACGGACTAAAGGCAGTCAGCAGCCCTGGACGGTCCCCTACGTTCTGGTTGCAGAACCATGCGGCACCAAGGCATGACTCAGCACTGAAGAACAACGCGGGAAACAAATGTCAATCCCAATTCCTGCTTCAAGAACATTGACACTCCCACGAGCCTTTGGCAAAAGACCCTACGTCGGCAGGCAGGATGACTGGTGGCACCTGAAGGTGATCACGGCAGCATGGACAATTATTCGGATACCTGATAACATAAAACAACTGAAGAGAAAGTCGCTTCACCTCAGCCTTCCTTGTTGCACGCGGTTGGGCGAGCGAACCGTAAAGTAGGACATGGAATGAAATCGAGGAGGTCTTCAGTCTTCTGCACTGAAAACGATGAAAACCCTGCAGGACGATTCGGCCTCCGTGACTGCCTCGCCGTTTTCGGGCGAAGCCTCCGAGCCTCAAGCGCGTGTTCACAATCGTTCACACAACGATTCAGCCCACAGCTCGCAAGCTTCAAGCAATCGGAGTGCAACATGGCAGAAGCTCACAACACCTCACAATGGACTTTTCGTGCTCGACCGGCCAACTGCTCCAGACAGAGGCAATCCCCGCTTTGCACCCACGGAAGAAGCACCATGGATGACACTGTGGCGCCCGTGCCAAACTTTGAGTTTACGAAATCGAACTTGCCTCTGACATGTCCATCAATCCATTGGTGTGTCTCGGTCGCTAAGATACGAGATGTTGAAAATTCTAACACCACGTGGCTTGCGTCTAGCTGCTAACTCACCAACGGACGATGCAGGCCCAGTGTTGCGGCCCGGAGCATCTTCAGCATCAGAAGGGATCCTTTTCGCCCTGAAAATGTGGCCTCTCCGCCGCCGTCGTGACAAACCACACCCGCTGTACTGATCAGCAAAGGCTGGGCAGTATGCGAAAGCTCATGGTACGCGAGCTTTCTGTGATATCTGTGATAACATGCTCGCAGTTTAGCCTTGTGGATTTGAAGCCTATTCCCTCGCACGATGTAAGCAGACTGCATCACCATCCTCCAACCTCGATGGCTCCACGACAGCCCTTTGTGGACCGACATTGTGATGTGCGAGACTAGCGACTGCAGATGGGCTTGTGCACACAACATAAAGCAGCAGTGTCTGTATGAACGGACAAACTCCTGCGTTTGCTCAGCACCCTGAGCCCCTTCCTTGACAGCTGTATCATTATGAACAAAGGAGAATACCTCAGGAACTGAATGGTCACAAATACACCACCAATACAAATATCCCAAGTACTGACTGCATGTGGATGGATGGATTCCTTCTGCATGTTCAATCTCGCCTAACTCCAAATACACAGGCGCAAACCCACATAGGTGATGTCTCAAGAAACGAATCGCTTGCATCTCGTTGGATGCTGTCCGATGGTATGCAAAATGTCTGACACACTCATGCATTCATGTGCACATACATACGTGCACGCTGGCATTGCATTTGCGACGCATATGTGCATATGTGTTGCATGACATACACTCTCTGCCCTGCCGCTGCCCCCATCCCTGCTTCTGCCCCTGCCCCTTATGTGCCATGATGCTATGCTATGAGCTGTGATGTGATGTGATTTTATGCGGTGTGATGGGGCTTCACATCACATCACATCCAATCCCATCCCATCCTGGCCCATCCCAGTACATTGCATTACATAACACCATTATATGATACACTCAGACATACACACACACACACACTTGCAGACCAGTCATCCTTACTTCGATGGATGCTGTTTGTTCTACGAGTAGCTGATCACATGGTCCCTCTTCGATCGGCTAACTGGATGGGTCTTCGTTGGCCCAGGCCATCCAGCTGCCCCTAACCCCCTGCTGAGATACATTACGAGCACCTACATCCTTCGGAACAGGAGTGGTGCACACACCCGACCGGGTTTCTCGGTTGAAGCACAACAATGTCAAGCGCACTCCCTTGCAGACTGGCAATAATTCAATTGCACGCGGCGCGAGCGGGCTCAGGGCATAGCGGGCATGTAGCCGCCTTGGCACTCACTGCAGTGAAACCGGCCTATAACGAGAGCAAGCTAGTTTGGAAAAGTTGCCACGGCAAAAAAACAGCGGAGC